TCATTCATCTGATTGACTTTACATCACAGTGAGACAGAGTTCATGGACATTTACAAGGTTACTTGATTTAAAAACATCATGATGATGAGATTCACCTCTTCTAGACGACTCTTCAGGATCCCATTTTCCTTATTCTTTTGCTGGAGCTAATTGTTGATATCACCGTAATGTTCGTCCATCAGACCAGCAAAAACAGAGAAAATGAGAAATGGTCATTGATTTACTGTTCAACAACACTGTGGTTCAGAAATGGAACAGAGAAGAAGATTCTCAATAGTCAGAGCAAAATAAAACTAAAGAGACAGTCAAGGTAGAAATCCTGATGTCAGAACTCAACAAAATAATGTTTAAGATAATAAGTTGAACCTTGACAGTTTGCAGTTTTTGCTCCACAATCTGCAGCTCAGTCTCCATCTTCTGCTTTTCATTGAGAAGTTTGTGTTTCTTTATGAACATTAACTTTTTCCTGATTCGTTGCCTCCTGCTCTTTGGACTGCGACTGCGCAAAGTGATGTAACAGTTCCTGTTTTCCTGTCTGTAGCTTACTGTGTGCTTGTGTCTGCGGCTGTTAGTTAACTCCTACTAAACTAGTCAGTTTTGCTTCTAAACACTAAAACCCATCGAGACGGTAAACTAAACCACTGTACAGGCTGCTCCTAAAACGCTTGTGTGCAAAACCGCTCCACAGCTCGTAATACAGCTTGGTGTTTGGATCTGCTAGCCTTGCAGCCACAAGATAGACATGGCTTCTGCCTCTCCTTCTCTGTCTGTGTCCTGCTCAGTGTGCCTCATGTTTAGCTACTCGCCCGTCTCATTTAGCGACAATGGTACATGTCAGAAATGTAGTTTGTTCATAGCTCTAGAAGCACGGCTCAGTGAATTAGAGGCACAGCTCCGTACCGTGCTAAAACCAGCAAATGTAGCAGCTAGCCAGCCCCCCGCAGTTGGTACGGAGCTACCTAGCTTAGCTCCCGCTTGCCACCCCTGGCAGTTCCTGAGCAGCCAGGAAGCTGGGTGACGGTCCATAGGAAGTATAGCCTTGAGCAGAAGTCCACAGTTCACCACCCACCCCCTGTTCACGTTTCTAACTGTTTTTCCCCACTCAGCAACACACCTGCTGAGGACAGGACTCTGGTAATTGGCAGCTCCATGGTCAGAAATGTGAAGCTAGAGACACCAGCGACCATAGTCAAATGCATAGTGCATAGTCCAATTCGCTTAAACTATGTCGGACTCCATAGTGTTCTCTGGACCCCTGCCCAGTGTGGCCAGTGGCTGGTTGTCGAGGTGATGCCCAGAAAACAATGTGGGCTTAATAGACAATTGGAAAACGTTCTGGGGAAAACCTGGTCTCATCAGGAGAGACCTCATACATCCCGCTTTGGATAGTGCGGCTCTCTTATCTAGAAATATGGAGACATTTATTAGAAAACCAAATCCCTGACAGTCCAGAGGTGAGACCAGGAAGCAGAGTTGCAGTCTTACACGCTTCTCTGCTGCTCGTCTATGACTGTTACCCTCCCAATATCCTATAGAGGTATGGAACACCTACCAAAGAGTTCCATTACACCAGATGTCTGTCTGATAATGCAGTAACTAAATTTAAGGAAATGGTTCCACTATTATTTACTTCAATGCGAACACAACGGAGAGCAGCTCCTCTAATCTTAGTCCCACACAGGTGGATCATCTGGTTGATAGAACTGCAGCTTTACTGCGTTCATCAATTGATGCTGTTGCCCCATTAAAAAAGAAGGCAATAAGCTATAATAAAACAGCTCTGTGGTCTAGTCAACAGCTGTGCATCTTAAAACAGAAATTAAGAAGGTTAGAAAGACAGTGGAGCTCTACCAATTCAGAAGAATTTCATCTAGCCTGGAAAGACAGTTTCCTCGCCTATAAAAAAAAACGATTTGCAAGACGAGAACTCCTTACTATTCATCCCTAACTGAGGAAAACCAGAACAAGCCCAGGTTTCTTTTCAGCACTGCAGCCAGGCTGACAAAGATCACAGCTCTGTGGAGCCTTGTTTCCTTTAGCTCTCAGCAGTAAAGACGTCATGACCTTCTTCACTGATAAAGTTTTGAATATTAGACAAAACATTATTGGCATGTCTGTAGGTGCAGCACCTCTGGATGCATCCATAGGACCAGATTTATACTTAGACTGCTTCTCTGTAAATCTGTCAGAGCTCACGTCGATAATAAATTCTTCTGAACCAGTGACATGTCTGTTAGACCCAATCCCAACTAAACTGTTCAAGGAAAACTTCCCTCTAATAAATACTGCAGTGTTAAATATCATCAACTTCTCTATATTAACAGGCTACGTACCGCAGGCTTTTAAAGTAGCTATAATAAAACCAGTACTCACAAAGCCTGCTCTAGATCCAGGTGTTCTAGCCAATTACAGACCAATATCCAACCTTCCTTTTATTTCTAAAATTCTTGCATTATGTGATTATCTGCATGTAAATGGTTTGTCTGAAGAGTTTCAGTCAGGATTTAGAATCCATCATCGTACAGAGACAGCACTGGTGAAGGTCACTCATGGTCTTCTTATAGCTTCAGACAGTGGACGAGTGTCCGTTCTGGTTCTATTGGATCTCAGTGCTGCATCTGATCCAGTGGATCACAGCATCTGATTACAGAGACTGGAATGTTTAACTGGGCTTAAAGGAACTGCACTGAACTGGTTTAAATCATATTTATCAGACAGATTTCAGTTTGTTCATGTTAATGCGGATTCTTCCACCTGCAGTACAGTTAGTTATGGAGTTCCACATGGTTCTGTGTTAGGACCTATATTATTTACCTTGTACATGCTCCCTTTAGGCAATATTATTAGGAAGTATTGCATAAATTTCCACTGTTATGTAGATGATACGCAGCTATATTTATCAATGAAACCAAATGAAATCCATCAATTGGTCAGAGTCCAACATGTCTGAAGGACATTAAGGTCTGGATGACCTGTAACTTCCTTCATTTAAATCCAGACAAACTAAGGTTGTTGTATTTGGCCCTAAACACCTCAGACACACACCATGGAACCAGATAGCTGCTCTAGATGGTATCGCCTTGGCCTCCAGTTCTACTGTAAAGAACCTTGGAGTTATTTCTGACCAGGACATGTCGTTCAATAGCCACATAAAATAAGTTTGTTGGACAGCCTTTTTTCATTTACATAATATTGTAAAAATCAGGAGCATCCTGTCTCAGAGTGACGCTGAGAAACTAGTCCATCATTTAGAACTTCTAAACTGAACTATTGTAATTCCTTATGATCACGATGTCCCAATAACTCTCTCAGAACCCTCCAGCTGATCCAAAATGCTGCAGCCAGAGTTCTGACAGGAACCAATAAAAGAGATCATATTTCTCCAGTATTAGCTTCTCTCCATTGGCTTCCTGTAAAATCAAGGATCCAATTTAAAATCCTGCTTCTAACAT